AGCCATTAGAAGAAATTTTTATTCTGGAGGCCTTGGGGAGCAATAAACAGGAAGTGACATGGAAATTATAGTAAACAAAGAGTTAAGAAAAGGGCCAGTGAAGTGCTGGTTCAGAGGACCAAGAGAGAGCCTCCTTCCTGCAGATGTTAGTGAAGATTGGGGAGGAGATAGTCCTTGTACTAGATAGTGAGTAGTTGGTGAACTTGCCTTTCTGAAGTTAAAGGAAAACATTTGTATCAGTTAAGGTTATTATTTTGTTTGTAAGTAACAAAATCCAACTCAAGCTGATTTAAAAATATGCAAGTATAGCCAGGCATGGTGGCGCCCACCTGTAATCCCAGCAGCTCAGGAGGCTGAGGCAGGAGGATTGAAAGTTCAAAGCCAGCCTCAGCAATTTATCGAGGCCCTAAGCAATTTAGCAAGACCTTGTCTCAAAATAAAAAGGGCTAGGGGTGTGGCTCAGTGGTCAAGTGCCTTGGGTTCCATCTCCAGTACCAAAAAATAAAAATATGAAAGTATATAAACTCTCATGAACTGGAGGTCAAGAAGTATGGCAGTTTCAGGCCCAACTTAACCCAGTGGTTAAGACTCCACTTCCTCTTAGTTCAACATGTCTTCATCCATAAGCTGATAGTCTGATGGCAATGACAGGTCCAGGCCACAATATATAGCAGTCTCTTCCTGTGGTTCTGTCAGGATGGCAGAAACAATTTCCAGAAGCTCCCAGCAAACTTCCTCAAAATATCATTGATCCAGATGAAGGCATATGTCCATTCCTGAACCAGGAATTCCTGGATCCCTGCTGTTTTAGAACCAATCATTTCAAGGTGGTTGGTACCTATCTGGGTAAATTCATTTGGGGTGCACTCCTGGAGGTCTTGGGTGAGGTAAAATCTTCTGAAAAGAGAATAAGGCCACTGGAAACTTTCTTGCTCTATTACCCCACAAAATAATTTTGATAAGATTGTATCCTCTTATACATTTGTACGTTGATATCCAAAATGTTTCCATTTATTATCATAAATTTTAATCGTTGCACAGGATATTATTTTTGGTGGATTATACATTTTGATATTTAAAAATAAAACCTTATGTCAGCTTCCAAGATAACATTCTCTTGTTTTCATGTGCTTCTAACAATATTCATTTTTTCTGTAACCTTTTAGCATTCCACTCCTCTCTCTACCACACCCATTCCCTTCATTTGCCTTCCTGTCTCACATAGTTATCTCAACTATGTCCTGGCTAACATTCCCAAATTCCTCACTCTCTCAGTCTTCCACTACACATATCTTCCCAGATTCCTAGTATGTTCCCAGGATGCCAAAAGTTCTGCTGGGAAAATTCAAGAGAGCAAGCCAATTGGCTCCTCTTATACTGATGCTCCAGGAGATTGTGAGGGTTAAACAAAATGATGTCTGTAAGTTGCTCAGCACACAGCACATAGTAAGTATTCTTCACTCTCCACATCAAATTGTCAGTACATTCTTGCTTATCTCTTTCTACCTTGCACATGCTATATTGAAGTAAAAATGTTCTTTCTTATTCTGCCCGTTCTTCCTGATCTCTGAAGATTTGCTTGCCCATTTTCTTCCCAGAATGCTACAGTTGCAATACATTTCAAACTGAGGTACACAAACACTTTTTATAATATCTGTGGGCCTGTGGATTGTGACTGGAAACCAATTTCTAGATTGTTGACTTCAGTTTGTATCCTCGCCTAAAACCAACCTTCTTGAGAACTGGCCTATGGCCTGCAGACTTCTCTTTCTCAACTCATCTTTTACAATTGCTCTTTTCCTCCTTTATAAAAGGAAGACACACCTCTCACCCATCTCCTCTTAAAAATCTCTGGTGTGCCATACAAAGGTATAATTTGTTGAGAGATGATTCTTAGACCTTTTATAGGGCAAGCTCCAATCCTTGCTTTCAACAAAAATTTAAAAAGACCTACTCAGGTTCTCAGTTGATAAATTACTTAATAACATTTTACTACAAATCACAATGTGGTTTTTGATACATAAGTTCAAAGAATTAACTGATATTGCTATTAAAGAGATTGTTGTAAACTGATTTAGGTAATTTGGGCAATATCAGGTCTGGGCACAATAACTAGGGTAAAGCTGATAAACAATAGAAATGTGGTTTTTCAAATTTCTTTCTTTCTTTCTTTTAACTGAGAAAAGACTATTTAGAGCTGGGCATGGTAGTGCACGCTTGTAATCCCAGCGACCTGGGAGGCTGAGGCAGGAGGATCGCAAGTTCAAGGTCAGTCTTAGCAACTTAGGGAGGCCCTCAGCGATTTATTGAGACCCTGTCTTAAAACAAAAAATAAAAAAGGGCTGAGGATATGGCTTAGTGGTTAAGCAGCCCTGGGTTCAATCCCTGGCACACACATACACAAAAAGAGAGAGAGAGAGAAGAGTATCTAATCAATTGTATTTTATCTGTCCTGTCTGCTCTCAGGAATTTAAGGTAGGGGAAGGACAATCAAGAGGAAGGCAGGACCTCAGCAACTTAGTGAGACCCTGTCTCAAAATAAAAAGTAAATGGTAAAGTGACACTGGGTTAATTTCCCAGTACAATAAATAAATAAATAAAATGAAATAAAGAGGAAGGTAGGGAACTGGCAATAATGATTATAATCGTGATACTTCCCATAGACCAAACATTGGGTAGAGATAAATGAACCTTATTAAGACTGGGACAACTTTAGTCATTAAGACTAGAACTAGCTGGGGATCAGAATCCCCTGGGCATAATTGTTAAAAGTACTTTGGTTCCCCTAGAGATTCTTATTGAGAGATCAAGGGGAAGGATCTGGAAGTCAGTATTTTTAACAAGTTTTCCAGTTGATTCTTCCATAGCTAGTCTATTTCCAAGCCAAGAAGAAGCTTTATTTAAGAAGCATTTATCTAACCAGATCTTCCTACCATGATTGCAGGCCTACTAAACAATTTCCAGTGTGTGTGTGTGTGTGTGTGTGTGTGTGTGTGTGTGTGTATCTCCTCATATAGATTTCACCTAGGCAGAAAGTGCTTTTGAACTTTTATTTCTCATTGTTAGGCATCTGGTGCATGTATCAGTATTTTGTGCATGAAGTTTTCTGAGACTGTTGTCCTAGGGTTCAGGAAAAAACAATTTAGATCTGCAGAGTTAAGGACCCTTTTCTAAACTCTGGTAACACAGTGAAGGTCTGCCTGTCATCCCTCAAATTGAGGACCAAGGGTAATCAACCTCCATTCCTCAGGTGGTATCTGAATCTTCAGAAACAGTAATTTCAGATTTAGAAAAGTAATCAGTAACAGAAAAACTGGAAATTCTATTTGGGAATATGAATTTACCTATGAGAAATGGAGTATTTCCATATGAAGATGAGGTCTTTGCTTCTGGGAAAATCAATCAAAAAAAGACTAGCTTTGATTTGTATATAAGATACCTACAAAACATTAACAAATGACACTAGTATTGTGTTGCTGTCAGAATTCAAAGTAAAAGAATGGTCAGATGCTCAGATTTAGTTGTGTAAGACTTTAGAATTTAAATTTTGAATTTGGTCTTGAAGTTGGGGTAGATATGTATCTAACTTCTATTATATCTAGTTTTACTACAAATAAGTGATTTTCTATATGGTATGGTGCAGATATAGGTTCTACAAATGCTGACTTTGTAAAGAACTTTGTAAAGATGAGAGCTGGGCATGGTGGCACACACCTGTAATCCTAGTGGCTCTGGAGGCCAAAGCAGGAGGATTGCAAGTTCAAAGATAGCCTCCACAACTTAGTGAGAGCCTGTCTCAAAATAAAAAATAAAAAGGACTGGGGATGTGATTCAGTGATTTAGCTCCCCTTGGTTCAATCCCTGGTGGATGGGGACTAGAATATGGAAAATAAGCTATCATAGGAGATATAAAGGTAAGAAGGAAAGGCCAGAGAGGTGTTGGAAGTAGATAGGGACTGAAATACTAGCTTGTGGAATTTGTTCTTAGTGGCTGTTAGAAATTTATTTAAGACAATAATTCCCAACTCAGATGTTACCATGGATGAATAAGATAGCTGAATTGTCTATAATGGATCTTTATAATTTTACAGATGCATATTGATAATTTTTAAAGATTTCAACAAAAAGGATTCCTAATCTTGGTGTCATTGCCATCTGTTTAATTACTATCCCTCAAATTAAGGGAGGTCTGGGTTCAATCTTATATTCTTTTCTTTTTCTTACACTTGTATCTAGTTAAACACCAAATCTTGCAGAATTTGACCTCTTAAATATTTCTTCAGTCTTTTCTATGACTATTGCCCTAGGTAGGTCTCATCTCCTCTTGTCTTAATGACTGCAACAGCCTTCAAACTGATTTGCCTATGCCAAGACCTAGAAGCATCACCATCCTTTCTACTACTAAATGACCACTAGTGCACATCTACTTGATATGCTCATTTGACCAGAGACACTTCTTAGAAAAAAAACATTCCATGACTTTGCACTGTCTAAAATATGAAGTTCTATACCTGCCTTTCTCCCCATAAATATCACCTTCCACAATTAACACTTTTATTGATGGGAAGATTGTACTCCCCGAATTTTCCATGATGCCCAAATACACTGCCCTAGGCAAAGGGCCACTTCAGTATTAGCTCCAGTTTGCTTATCATCTGAGCAAAGTTCAGGCTCATTTATCTATTATTTGCACTCCACTGCTGTGATGGGGACAGCTAAATTCCCAGGATATTTTTATTAGAAATAAGTTTGACTTCATAAAATAATGTTTTCTATCTGGGTGTGGTGGCACACACCTGTAATCCCAGTGATTTAGTAGTCTGAGACAGAAAGATTGCATATTTGAGGTCAGCCTCAGCAACTTAATGAGAACCCGTCTAAAAATAAAAAATAAAAAGGACTGGGGATATATAGCTCAGTAGTAAAGTGCCTCTGGGTTCAATCCCCAGTATGAAAATAATAATAATAATAATAATAATAATAATAATAATAATGTTTTAAAGATTAAAAAATGGCTTAAGCAAGGCAAAAGTTAGTCATTTAGATAGAAGAAGTTCACAGGCAAGCATTCCAGGATTGATATGGCAGCTGTGAGAGTCATCAGAGATCCAGGTGTCTTCCAGTTCTGATCCCCAATCCTATGTATATTGGTGTACTCATGGTCTAACCTGGCACTCCATCACTCCTCAGGAACAGCAATGGAAGAAGACAGTGAAGAAATGCATCCTATCAACCTTAAGAAGATTTCCCAGTAGCCTCGTGTGCTTTAATTTGCATCTCACTATCATTGGCCAGAATTTGTCATGTGGTCAGAGTCAGCTGCAATAAAAGCTGGGAAATGTTATTTTTAAAACTATGCTCATTACCTCTGTAAGTAAATTCATTATTCTGTTATGAGGAGATGGAGAAGAATACATATTGGGATAGGCAATTAAATTTTTTTGCCATAGATTTTTGGAAATTTAAAAAATCTACTCTTTAATTAATCTATAAAAATATTAAGGAAGTTCTGTAAAAGGGCTGATTTTATGATTACTCATTATGTGGTTACTTAATTTGTAAAGATCAATGTCTTTGCCATATGTAAAAATAATAACTAATTTCAGAATATAAGAAAAACCCACTAAATGAAAAGACAGAATGGATATAAAATACTCAGGATAAGTTTGGAATTTCTTTTCTTTTTTTTTTTTTTTTGTACTGGGGATTGAACTATGTCCCCTGTCCTTTTTTATTTTTTAATTTGAGATAGGGTCTCATTAAATTGCTTAGGGTCTTGCTAAGTTTCTGAGGCTGGTCTCAAACTTGCCATCCTCCTATCTTAGCCTCCCAAGTCACTGGATTATAGGCTTGTGCCACCTGTACCCAAATTTGGAAATTTTACAAAAGTATACTAAAATTTACTTGAAAAAGTATGAGACTAGATAAGAAATATCTGAAAAAGAAGGCTAATGAGAGAGAACTTTCTCTAACATATATAAAAATTTTTTAAATAAAGCTTAATAATTTAAACAGTTTGGTATTGGAGAAGAAATAATTTAGTAAAACTGAACAGAATATAGACATTGATCCAGAGCTGGGCACAGTGGTACACACCTGTAATCCCACCAACCTGGGAGGCTAAGGCAGGAGAATTGCTAATTCTAGGCCAGCCGTGGCAATTTAGCATGACCCTGTCTCACAATAAAAAATTAAAAGGGCTGGTGATGGAGCTCAGTGGTAAAGTGCCCCCTGGATTCCATCCTCAGTACCATAAAAAAAAGAAGCCCCAAATATATATATATACACTTATACTATGGTACAAGTGTCATTTTAAATCAGTAGAAAAATAATTATTTAGTAAATGGTATTGATATGATTCACTAGCCATCTGGAGAAAATTTAAGCTAGAACCTTACTTCATCCAAATGTAGGAAACTAGGGGTAGTTAGTTACTTATGTGCTAGTTATAGCTAAGTTACATTAACCTTTTGAATAAGTAACCCCCATATACACTATACCCTGCTCCACATAGCTGGTGATAAACACAGAACTGGACTAAGACCAGGTCATCTGACTGCTCATTTTGTGGTTACTTCATCTATAAATCCCAAAGTTATTTCCGTTGACATAGTATCCTTGTCCCTTTTCTTAAATTTTTCCATATACCCCATCTGTGAATATGGCTATCATTTTCCCTAAATGTTTTCATTATCAACCTCATGTTCTATTCCAGTTCACTGTTAATGTTATAGAATATTTATCAGTATCTTTTTACCATCCATTTCTGATTTCTATTTTTAAATCTTTGCCTCTGATAAGTTTTCTCTTCAGTCAGCATCTGCTTCTGAGCATGTCTCTCATAATCCTAAATCTCTGTTTTCACCAACAGCATCCTGTCATTTCACCAAATGTCAAGACTGTTCTTGAGTGCTGTCAGCACTACATCAAAGCTCTGTCCCCCTGTGCTCATTAGCTTCATTTAAATATGAAACAGCCACTTCATATATTTATCTTCTTTCATTTCAGATTGTGAGATGGGGACTGAAAACAAAGAGGTGATTAAGGAAGAAATTTTTGAAGAATCTGAGCTGCATGGGCCAAAGTTAGAAAAACTTCCAAAAGTGGTTTACCAAGTTCGTGGGTTTGGAGTAGCTTGTGAAGAAGACATATTAGAGGGACATTCGAGAGAGTCTTCAGAAGACATTACACAACAGATGTCTCCCCAGGAGAGAGATTTTGCACCAGGGTTGATAATCTTTAAGAAATCCCCCTCAAGTGAGAAAGACCAAGAGGATAGTGAAAGTGAGAGAGGCTGCAGTCCTACTCCTAATCTGGTGACACATCAGGGAGATGCTACAGCAGGGAGTGTCAGTACATTTTCTACCTCTGGCCAGAATTTTATAGAGAATTTAGAACCTAACAGAATTCGGAGGACATCTGTGGGGGAAAAGCCTCATTCATGTAAAGAATGTGGGAAAGCCTTTAATCAGAACTCACATCTCATCCAGCATATGAGAGTTCATAGTGGAGAAAAACCCTTTGAATGCAAAGAATGTGGAAAGACATTTGGAACTAACTCAAGCCTTCGAAGGCACCTGAGGATTCATGCTGGAGAGAAACCCTTTGCTTGTAATGAATGTGGAAAGGCCTTTATCCAGAGTTCACATCTTATCCACCATCATAGGATTCACACCGGAGAGAGACCCTATAAGTGTGAAGAATGTGGTAAAGCCTTCAGTCAGAATTCAGCCCTTATTCTACACCAGAGAATCCACACTGGAGAGAAACCTTATGAATGTAATGAGTGTGGAAAGACCTTTAGGGTTAGCTCACAGCTTATTCAGCATCAGAGAATTCATACTGAAGAAAGATATCATGAGTGCAATGAGTGTGGCAAAGCCTTCAAACATAGCTCAGGCCTTATTAGACACCAGAAAATTCATACTGGAGAAAAACCCTATCTGTGTAATGAATGTGGGAAGGGCTTTGGTCAGAGTTCTGAACTTATTCGGCATCAAAGAATTCATACAGGAGACAAACCCTACGAATGTAATGAATGTGGGAAAACCTTTGGCCAGAACTCAGAGATTATTAGACACATTAGAATTCATACTGGTGAGAAGCCCTACGTGTGTAAAGAATGTGGGAAGGCCTTTAGGGGGAATTCAGAACTTCTTAGACATGAGAGAATTCACACTGGAGAGAAACCCTATGAGTGTTTCGAGTGTGGGAAGGCCTTCAGGCGGACGTCTCACCTTATTGTCCACCAGAGGATCCATACTGGAGAAAAACCCCATCAATGTAATGAGTGTGCAAGAACCTTTTGGGATAACTCTGAGCTGCTTCTCCACCAAAAAATTCATATTGGAGAAAAGCCTTATGAGTGTAATGAGTGTGAGAAAACATTCAGCCAGCACTCCCAACTTACCATACATCAGAGAATTCACACTGGAGAGAAGCCTTATGAGTGCCAAGAGTGTCAGAAGACTTTCAGTCGGAGCTCTCACCTCCTCCGACATCAAAGCATTCATTGTATGGAATGACCTGCAAAATAGAAAAACTTTTTTGGGAAAGGCTAACGTCAGACTTATTTGTCATAATATGCATCCCAAATTCTCAGATGAAATGAAAGGAAAGAACTTCTCTCCTTCCACTAATTTTTTATTTTTAATTTCAATAGTTGGTTGAAAAAGGATGAGGCACTTTTATGAACTATTCATTGAGAAGTTTTATGTACTGGGTTAAATCATAAAAGCTGTTTCAGGCCTTAATTCTCATCTGTCCCTTTTCCCTTCCCTTCTTTCCTCCTCCCCCAGTGGATTATATAACATTAGAGGTCTGTATCTGCCACCTGACCTACATGGTTGCTCTTCTGAAAAATGGGGTAACAGGATTCACCACCTTCTAAAAATTACAGAGTTGACTCATTGAACTTATCCCATGAAAAACATGTTAGAAAGTCATGACTTAGATGACACATCTCATTCTTGTGTCCACTGTTTAGCCTTGGAATAATTTAGCATGCTTCTATTAATAGCCTCAAAATCTTCCAGCTATGCTATCAAGTTCCCTTAGAAGATGGCAGCATTAATGAAAAAGCAGGAAGCTTGGGTCATTTCACATCTCCTGCTAGGCTTCCTCATTCATCTGAAGAGGGTACTATGAAGGAGGAAACTGACAGGCCATTTACAGAATTGTAAGTGAAGGTCATAGGATCCAAAGGGACTGATTAGGCAAGGCCACAGGATAAACAGTTGAGGCCAGAATACTCAGCATGGGCAAAGGGTCTCCTTGGCAGCTATCCCCACTTCAGGGCTGCCCAGACTGACTGTTACAAGAATTCTGCTGCGTTTGCTTTTGGTCCCAGCTTCTGCTGCTGCTGCTGCTGTTGCTGCTGCTGCTGCGTAAAGAAGTAGCAGAGAGAACTATGCGGTTTCACCTCTATTAGGCACCTGGCCACAGTAATAAGCTGGTTCACTTGACTAACCAGGGCCTGGCTTTGCCAAAGCACGTTAGCTCTCATAACCTGGATTCCACTGCTGCTGGTTCTGATGGGCTGAAATATGACAGCTTCTTCTTGGTCTGATGGTCTTGAAATTTTCTTTTTTCAACATCTCTACATGTTTTTTTGTGTTCTATATGTCATTTCTTCTTTAAGGAAACACATCCTTCATTTTTCATGTCTTTTTCTATTTTTGGTACTGGGGATTGAATCCAGGGGCACTCAACCACTGAGCCATAACCCCAGCCCTTTTTTGTATTCTATTTAGAGACAGATTCTCACTGAGTTGTTTAGGGCCTCGCTAAGTTGCTAAGGCTGGCTCTGAACCTGCGATCCTCCTGCCTCAGCCTCCTGAGTCTCTGGGGTTATAGGCATGCACCAGTGCGCCCGACTCACATCCAATTTTGAGGCAATGGGTGATAGTAGAATTGCACTAACTGAGCATAGGGTCTGGTTTAAGAGTTAGGCCTTGAATAAGGCACTTCACCTCCTGTTCTCTAATTTTATCTGTAAAATGAGGGGAGTTGAACTAAATGCTAAATGATCTCTGACACTTCCACCAATCCAATAATTCTTTGATTCTTTTAAAAAAATCTAACTTTATAATCTTCATTGTTCTATTCTTCAATCACTATTAACCCTAATTCTAATCACCAGTATTTATTGAGTATTTATTATGTGCCAGGCACACGCCTGACAGTACGTTTTTATTTTCACAACATCTCTATGATGTGGATAACCTTTTTTTTTTTCCCCCTCTTATGGTTTTGGGGATTGAACCCAGGACCTCATGCATACCAAGTAAGCAGCACTTTACCACTGAGTCACATCCCCAACCCTGATGTGGGTATTCTTGTAAAAAGAACACTTTATTGAAATATTATTTATATCTATACAATCACCTGTTACAATTATTCAGTTGAATGATTTTTAATAATTTATAGAGCTGCCCAATCATCAATAATGTGGGTATTCTTGCCCCAATTTATGAGAAGAGATAGCCAGGCAAGATGATGTATGTGGGGCTGGGGATGTGGCTCAAGCGGTAGCGCGCTTGCCTGGCGTGCGTGTGGCCCGGGTTCGATCCTCAGCATCACATACAAACAAAGATGTTGTGTCTGCCAAAAACTAAAAAATAAACATTAAAATTCTCTCTCTCTCTCTCTTTAAAAAAAAAAAAAAGATGATGTATGTGGGCACACTTGCAATTCCAGCTACTCTAGAGTTTGAGGCTGGAGGATTGTTAGTACAAAGTCATCCTGGGCGACTTAGGAAGGCACTTTCTCAAAATGTTAAAAAAAAAAAAGTGAATGTAGCTCAGTGGTAAGCTCTTACCTAGCATATAGCCTTAGGTTAATCTCCAGCACTCAGGGAAAAAAAAAAAAAAAAGGGCAGAGAGGAGATGTTAAGTAACTTACCTGTGCTCACACATCTAGTAAGTGCTAGAGTCAAGATTCTATCCTGGGTCTGTTCTGTTCTCTTAATCACTTTGCTGTTTTGTATACACTTATTTGAAATCATTTGCACATTTTTATTACTAATTACTACATAGATTTGAATATAATGAATTTGAATCATGTCCTTGGAAACAAGCTGGTCACAACCAAAATCCATTGGTGAGGACTGGCAGTGTAGCTAGTGGTAGATCACTTGCTTAGCATTTGTGAAACCCTGGGTTTGATCCCAGCACCACAGAAACAAACAACCCCCACCCCCAATCCACAAAGTGGGTTTATTCTGTACATCTATAGTGTCTCTCCAGGTTCATAGCCTTGGTTTGATAAAAGGGCTGTACAAATAAACAGATGATTGTACAGTTCCCACATCGTTCCAGGTATCTCTGTTTCTAAATATCTAGTTCTTAGCATAAGTGTTTTTGTTTTGCAGTGCTGGGCACTTTCTAGGCAAATACTCTACCACTAAGCCACCATCCCTGCCCTAGGTGAAATTCTTTGACTTAGCTCTTCCCTTAGATGATGACGGCTCCTTTGTTACTCAAGCTCAAATTGAGTTGTGTTGAGAACATCTTTCTCACACGAAACCTGGATGTCACCTAACTTCTGATTTTTGTGCTTGCATAATTTATTGCCACATTCATCTCTTGTCAAGTTTTGATACAGAACTTAGCACTCTTCAAGGTCTCCCCCTAAAGATTCTACCCATACCAACAAATACATGAGTAATAAGGATTCCATTGATGATGCTGTGTGAAAGGTGGAGAAAAGTTCACATTGTACATCCTATCAGACGCTTTTTTTCCACATTTTAAAAATTGGTGCATTATGGTTGTATATATTGATGGGATTTGTTACATGTTCATCCCATCACACATTTTGTTCTCAGCAGTTCCTTCTTGGCTAAACTTACAGTGAAGTTTTTTTTTTCTTTTTCTCTTTTCTCTGTCTTCCCTCTCAGGGAATCAGCCACCTCAGTTTCTTTCTTCTTGCCAGATACCCAGTCCGTATACCCACACCCTGTGTACTTAGCTCAGTTACCTTAAACCCATCACTAAGGAAGAAAGAGAAGGCCTTCAGTTAGCAATTCACTCATGTGAACTTAGTGACCAACTTTTTAAAAGATTTTTTTGTAGTTGTAGATGGGTAGCATGGCTTTATTTTATTTATTCATTTTTATGCAGTGCTGAGGATAAACCCAGTGCCTCATATGTCCTAGGCAAGCACTCTGCCATTGAGCTACAGTCCCAGCCCCAGTGACCAACTTTTGTTGTAACTGAGTGTGTTCTTAAGATGGGTGAGGTCTCATATCATCCTCAGGAGAATGTTCCAATTTGTTGTATAGTGCTTTCCCAAGAGGAATTCTGGTGAGTGAAGTCATCTCCATCTTGTTATGTACACCATGCACACATCCTGTAACTCCATTTTCTGTCCTTTTCATCTATCCCCCAGTCATCTCAGGAAGATTTCTCAATTTTTCTTGTTTGCCTTCCTCCTTCTTCAACTTACTTGGGAGTTAATATCTGACCATAAATTCGACTGGTTGTCATGATTCTGTGCAAGTACAATTATGTAAAGGAAAAATCATGAATTAATTTTAGACCCATTAAAAAAAAAGAGAACAGACTTCACATCTCAAAGTCCTACCTAAATACCCAGAAATATCCTCCAGAATTTTAGAAGCTATGTCTGTGTACATTTTCTTCCTTCCAGAACTCACTTTAGGTAAATAAAGTATGTCTATAATTTTCCTGTATGATGTCTTTCTAATGTTTATCATTACAAACTGCATTATATTTCATTATAGCCTTATTATGACTTTGTGTCAGTTTCATCCCCACCCTGTAAGTTTCACCCCTACTCAAGTATCCCAATTTGCTGTGCTGTTACTTTAGCTTCTGATTTTGCATACACTGTTCACTCTGTCCTTGACCTGTTGCTTTGTTTGATGAGTTATCTTTTATGCTAGGACAAGAGTTACCTACTGTGTGTGTGTGTGTATGTGTTGTGTGTATATACACATTTTTCTTCATCATTAACAGTCATCTGGATGGTCCAGTTTTTTTTTTTATACCTATTACTAACATTTCAGGATTGCCTTTGCTAGTTGTATACAATTCAATTGTATAAGTGTTCTAGTGACTCCTGGTCCAAGGCAAGTTACTAAGGCTGTTAAATCAAGAATTTTTTGAGAATCAGAAAAGCTCTTCCCAGAAAAATGTACATGCAAATTGAAATTTGTGAACCTTCTGTAACCTATCCCTGGGACTCCTATGGTCCTTTATGCATTCCTAAAAGTGAATTCTTGAATTAAAAAATTACCAAGTAACTTCCACAATAACTTCTGCTTGTCTCTTAGCTTTTGGAAAGAAATTATCAAGGTGAAGCCCTGGAAATGGGCGGCAGCTGGAGCCTCAGTAAAAGCCCAGTGGGAAGGGCGGGGACGAGTCTCATCATAGCCTGAATAAGGGAGCCTCAGGGAGACGAGTCAGTATGCAATCATCCACCACTTGGTATAATGTGACAGCAAGGTGCAGGTGCCATAGGAGCCAAGAAACTTGTGGGGACTTGAATAATCTGGTGGTGCTCAGCACTGTGTTTGGACTGCAACTTCTCTCAACAGCAGTTTCCTGTCAGGACACAGACCTGATGTTATGGTAAGTTCCTGTTAACTTTTCCCCCTACCTCCCAGCCCCTCACTCAGGGAAAGGACTGTGCCTTTTTCATTGTGATTTCCAAATCACAGCATTTGAATTAGAATGAACATAAGAATCTGTGAAAACATGGATGGACAAGAAAGTAGGAGGGCAGGGTCTTACAAATTAGTGACCTGAGTTCAGGCAATTTTTATCTGCTTTTCTCCCTCACAGACCTCTTTACTCTGTTTATTTGATGCTGCCTAGTTTTCAGGTAGAGATCCCTGGGAAACACCTTGAAGGGGAGTGTGTAGTGGAAGTTTGCTGGGGAAAGCCTGGGAAAACCCGAGAGCAAAGGGGCCACAGGATGGGCAGAGGGAGAAGTTCATAGTGATGTAGCTGCAACAGAGGCCTCCGGCAACCCCTGAAGAAGTGTGGGAAGATTTTTCAACAGTGTTTCCCAGTTCTCACTGCCAGCTCTCTATACCCATGAATTACATGCTGGGAAGGGTTATAAGCTCTGCTGAGGCATTTCCCTTTTGTCTAGGACCCTCCTGGGAAGGTTGATGTCAGCAGGCAGCACTACAGACAGCTGGGGATCCTGGCAATGCACCCACCACACAAACTAGCACTTCCTTTCCTTCAGAAGGCAGGTGGCAGAGACCACACATGTTCATGTGAACAGGAAGGTCAAGGACCTGGCACAAGCTTATCAAATGCTGCCCCCCCCCAAGAAAAAACCCCACAAAAGACAGTGTCTCCTTGACCTTTCTGTTCATATGAACAGCAATTGAGTACTGGACTTGGGATTTGTACTGGATGTTTGCCTCAGGGACCCATACTTTATTTATTACTAAAGCAACTACTACTACTACAATGGATTCTACCAAATATAGCATAGGAAGTGGAGACCATACAAAGACTGCTGCTCAAATATCTGCTGAGAGAAAATGTTCCAACTCTTTTAAGATGTTCTGTGAAAGAACTGTTCTCTCCTTTCCATCCAATCTCCCTTTCCCAGCCAGCCTTCACAGGGTGATTTCTGAAGGGACTTCCCAATTTATAGCCACACCCCAGGAAAGCACGGTGAAAGGGAAACCTGGCAGCAGGAAGATGGATAGCAGGAGGATCCTGGTATAGCAATACTTAAATTGCTCGGTTGTCTGCGAGTCCTTTCACCAGTGGCTTCTTCCAAAGGACACTGGCCCTTGGACGTCCATCATTCCAGGCAGGGCTTTTTGCTTCTTGCCCCTTCCTGTTTGGGAGATTTTACTGGTGAAGTCAAAGAAGTAGAATGGAAATGTACCCAGCTGAAACTGTAAGGTCTTGTAAATAGCTGGACATGGTGGTGCATACCTATAATCCCAGCAACCGGGGTACCTGAGACAGGAGGATCACATGTTCAAGGCCAGCCTCAGCAACTCTTCCATAAGAAAACCATTTTTCCCCCTTTCAGGTACTGGGGATTGAATCCAAGGGTGCTTTACCGCTGAGCTACATGCCCACCCCTTCTTGACAAAAGGTTTAAGTTGTCCCTTAAACCTTTGAACTTGTGATCCTCCTGCCTCAGCCTCCCAAGTTGCTGGAATAACAGGCCTTACCACTTTGCCTGGCTCTGTAGGAGTTGGTAGGCAAATGGCCATTCTGCAAGAGGCATTTTCCAACCTCCCTGGAAGACACATGTAGCCACATAATCACATTCTGACCAAAGGATTGGGCCACCTTGCATGACACTTGCTCAAAGAGAAATCACTTGTCCTTGTGATTATTATTTCCATTTTCCTGTGAGCCGGAATAAGAATATGGCAATGATCCTGCTACAACCATACAAAAACATCACCAGGGGATGAAAAGCAGGATGAAAAAATATATGGGCTCCTGAACTATTTGGTAAAACTAAACTGAGCTGCCCTCTAGACGGAGTTTGGCACTTTTTTCTATAAAAGGTCAGATGGTAAATATTTTAGGCTTTTTGGACCATGTTCTCCTGGTACTGGGAATTGAACCCAGAGCTGCTTTATCACTAAGCTACATCCCTAGCCCTTTTTAAAAATTTTGTACAGGGGATTGAACCCAAGGCTTAACCACTGAGCCACATCCCCAGCCCTTTATATTTTTTGAGCTAGGGTCTTACTAGGTTGTTTACGAACTTACTAAGTTGCTCAGGCTGGCTTCAAACCTGCAATTCTCCAGCCTCAGCCTCTGAAGACACTGGGATTACAGGCATGCACCACCATGTCCAGCAGCCCTTTTGATTTTTAATTTTGAGACAGTCTGCTAAATTGAGCAGATTAGCCTTGAACTTGTTATCCTCCTGCTTCAGTCTCCTCAGTATTGTATACCACTGTGCCCAGCTACTTTTTTAACACCTAAAATGAACTGTAAAAACTATTATTAGCTTATGGTTCATACAAAAACAGGTCATGAGCTGGATTTGAATTTGACCCTGCCGCAGTCTGGCTGGGCACAATCAGGAGCCACTTGTCAAAAGAAACTAACTTTATTTTTAGAACCACACACGCCAGACAAAACAGCCTCTCAGGAAAAACCCTCAGAGCCTCAACTGCCACCACCGGCTTTCCACAAGCCTCTCTCCCCCACACCAGCTTCTCCCCACCTCCCACCATCCTCCTGCTCTTGAGGCCGATTGGCTGGGTCACGTGGGCGGAGCCAAAAAAGTCCCCCAATGAGCAGCTCCGTGGGCTGAAAGGGCAGGGAAACAGCCCAATGAGCATCACCGCAGAGGAGCCAATCAGCTAGATGTTGCTGGGGCCGGGGAGCCAATCAGCTAGATGTTGCTGGGGCCGCTGTGAGCCAATCATCAGCCAGCAGCTGGAAGTTTGCTGGCAGCTGGAAGTTTGCTGGGGCCCCTTTGGCTGTGGCTCTCAACAGACCCTTAAGAGATGTAGCTTGCTGACCACCTTGTTGTCTCAGTATGTTTATGTGAGAGAAATAAACTTGTATGGTAAAGCCAGGAAAGGTTTCTCAAAGGAAATAACATTTAAAGAGATCTATATGAGAGAGGTAACTGACATAATCATAAGGTAGAAAATATGCAGGGGGGCAGAGAACAAAGATGGAGGTTCTGAGATGGACATGAGTTTAAAATATAGGCCAATGATCAATTTATTGGCTTCAATCCACCATTCTTTGTTCTGTTTTACTACAGCTGGACCTGTAAACATTTCCCCTTTGTCAGGTGGTACAATGGAAGGTTTTGATAATTAAGGGCACTGGACAAGAGTACAGCTGCCAGCAGTGTCCAGGAAATCCAGTGGCACACACCCTTTGGTGAATGTTACTGATACCTCATCTAGTGGCTTCCTCTCATCAGTCTTAGACTGCTACATCTCAGTGAATGTCAACCATTCATCCAGTGGGCCATAGCTAGTGCTGTTGGTAAATATTTAACCAACTGCACACCAAAAAATTCTTGATTGTTACATTTGCTGATTTCCATGAATATTTTCATCACAGCTAATTTCAGTGCAGATTTAGGCAGTGATGTGGAAAATTGGCTTTTGCAAGCCTGTACAGACTGGCTCTAGTATGCCTCTGGATTAACACAACCTATCCAGTGAGGTTTGAATTCAGTCTTGTGAGGCTGGAAGGGGAGCTTCTAAGTTTGCTTCCTTAGAGGTAGTAGCTGTTCTTCATTCCACTATTCCTATATCCTTTAGTAGATCATACCCTTTTACTAGTTAATTCTTTATATTAAACTTTCCTTTTTCAAATTACTAGTGTGTATTCTGTCTCCTGCTTGGACGTTTGCAGATGTGACCTTCTCCAAGGAAGTAGACCAGTGTGCCCAGGACACTGAGCAGTTATGCTGTGCTAGCATTAGAACTCTACTGAAGTAGTCATTACTATCCTTATTTTATTGGTGGGCAGCTAAGAGTCTGGTTCAAGGTCTGCCAGAGAGAAGCAGCAGCACAATTTGGCTATTACTTATAGCCAAAGGTATCCTATGGCTATATTAATTTTAATAAAAGGACATGAATTAATAAAATCTTCAGTTGACACTACATGGACAGTTTTTCCTAAATCAAGAAAGACACAGGAAAAACCTTAAGATGCTTATAACTTTTATGAGATCTAGTCTTAAGTAGCTTAGACAAAAGTACAAGTCTGTCTGGAGACTTTATCATCTTCAATACACTGGGAAGGCTCTTTGCTAGCATGAACTCTCTGATGTCTAATAAGCTCTGAACTCCATCTGTAAGCTTTCCCACATCCTTTACATACAAAAGGTTTCTCTCCACTGTGAATTCTCAGGTGCTGACTAAGATATGAGCTTTGACTGAAGGCCTTCCCACACTCATTGCACTCATAGGGCTTCTCTCCTGAATGAATCCTCTGATGTTGAACAAGATGAGCACCCCACCTGAAGGCCTTTCCACATTGACTACATTCATAGGGTTTCTCTCCAGTATGAATTCTCTGATGCTGAATGAGGTTTGAGCTCTGATTGAAAGTTTTTCCACAGTCACTACACTTATAGGGTTTCTCTCCAGAATGAATTCTCTGGTGGATTACAAGATGTGAGTTATAAATGAAGGCTTTCCCACATTCACTACATTCATGGTCTTTCTTCCCTGTGGGAATTTTCTTATTTGTGACAACCATCTGTCTGAAACTTTTCCCTTGAGCAGGGGACCACTTCCGTCTCTTTGCTTTGGAATTTCTTTGCTGCTGTTCTAAGGTGCCCTCAACTTCAGAGGTAGCTTCAAATGGAGAAGCGTCGGTAGTGAGTTTTTCTGAGAACACTTGTGATTCCACTTTGGTAATGGGCAGCTGTGGCAGTGATCCTTTGTCCTTGGGTTTTGGGCCATCTTCTGCAACAACTGATGGAAAATGTAATAATACCTGTTCTGGATATATGGAGAAATGACACTTAGATTAGAACTTATATTTCTGGAAAGAAAATAAAAGGTTAAAAATATTCACTAAATAAAATCTTCAGCTGACACTAAATTAACAGTTTTTCCTAAATCAAGAAAGACACAGGAAAAACACTGGAAGGATATTTACTTAGATATTATCCATGGTTATCTCTTGGTGATGTAATTATACATAGGAGAGGGTTTCTTTTTGTTTTCTCCCCCACCCACTCCTCACTTATCTGTCCCTCCAGATAATTTTTCATTTTTCCAGAATGAAATACTAAAGTCTCATTTGAAAAATAAATTTCACCAGCCACAATGGTACACACCTATAATCCCAGCAGCTCAGGGAGCTGAGGCAGGGGGATCATAAAAATCAAAGCCAGGCTCAGCAATTCAGCAAGACATTAAGCAACTTAGGAGACCCTGTCTCAAAAGACAAAAAAAGGGTTGGGGATGTGGCTCAGGGCTCAGTGCCCCTGGGTTCAATTTCCGGTACACACATGCACAAAAAAAAAAAAAAAGAAAAAGAAAAAAAAAGTTTCGAAGCAGAGTCTTTTTAGAATTTAGTCAAAAATAAGAAAAAAAAGTATTTTCAAGGAATTGGGGAGTGGTCAACTAATGTTGGGAAGGAAGGGAAAAACAAAGAAGAATCATTAGGGTCAGGAGAAAGGGATTTTCCTAAAGAAAGAAAGACTGCCCTTCTCAGCTCTGTAAACTCATTCATTCTCCTGCCCCATAATTCATCAGCCACTAAGGAGGATCTTCACATAGTTGCATGGATCTCCTTGCAGGGAGGACTCATCAGCTCCCTGCCTCCTACAGCTTGGTGCTCTCTGCCTTTCCCTTTGATCTGCTCCTTAAAAAAGGAAGAAGAGGCCTGAGGGTGTGGCTCAGTGGTAGAGTGCTTCCCTACCATGTGTGAGGCACTGGGTTCAATTCTCAGCACTGCACATAAATAAATAAATTAAATAAAGGTTCATCAACAACTAAAAAAAAATTAATAAAAAGGAATAAGAGAATGCTTTGCATTTTTGTTTTTAAATATCTGTATTAGTTATTTTATTTGTCTAACACTCCCTATGGTCTAAGGAATACAAAAAGCAATTGCTTTAAAATCACTAAAGATCATTTGATTTAAAAAATCATTTTTTTTCAGATTCAATGCAGTGGTTAAAGAAATCTGAAATATGCTTGCTATTATAAAAAAGGCACATGATACCTAGCTTTTTAAAAGTTAAGTATCAAGCTGATACTGTTTAATAAACAAAACAAGTAAAGACAAGAAAGAGTCTGGAAGAAAGACAAGGAGGGAAGGAGAACTGGGAGATAAAACATACTTTTGGAATAGATGCTAAGATTACTTTCCATTTCTTGTTTTTCCCTTTTGTTGTAATAAAATTCAATTTTTTCACATGCTTGTTTGGTAGTGGGATTGTGGTGCTAAACCGAATATTGAATAGAACCAAATATTGATTAGCAACAATACATTCACATGATGTTATAGAGGTCAGCAAAGACAGTTTACAGTCCTGAGGCTCTAAGCCTACTGCTCCATGTTTAGTGTTTGCATTAGAGAAAGAGATGAGGATGTTTGTGGGCATGTATGCAGGCCAAAAAGAAAATTTTTTCAATTAATCTGAAGGAAGAAGGTAGGTACAGACATAAAAGTTTCAAATAAGGCTTTTAGATGGTAGAGTGTACATGGCACATAAAGGTAATGACAGGCTGTGTCTCACATAAGAGTGCTTTATGGCTTAAAAAAATGTGTTGTGGGAGACATGGGGAAACCAAAAGAAAAGGATCTTAAGGCTAGACTCTAGTTCATGGCAAAGCTATTTTGAACTAGGTGTCAAGAGCAGTGGAGATAAGGCAGGCAGTGAGTAAAATATTTTGTGGTCCTGCTTTAGGGATCCTTAAAGCTGAGAAATACTAGCCAGCCTTATAGCCAGATAAAATATAAATTTGATTTAATTCACAGAGTTACCTTATGAGGTAGGTCTTGTGTGTGTGTGTGTGTGTTTGTGTGTGGTGCTGGGGATAGAACTAAAAAGCTTCTCACATGCTAGGCAAGTGCTCTGCTATACAGCTACACTCCCAGCACTAAGGTAGCTTATTGTAATCCCAATTTTATAAGTGATGAGATAGGCTAAGTCTCTGACCTAGGAGGCAAGACTTGTGAGGCCATGATGAGCATGGCAAACATTTGAGGACCTATATGTCCTTTTTTATGTCATTTCCCCTCTTCCCTCCCCACAGAATCCTGCTCCTCACCACTCTCTGGCAAAGGCTGGGTCTCCTGAGATTCACACTTGAGCTGGGTCTCCTTAGGTTGGAGCTGGATGCTTGGTTCCTCCTGGGCTGGTCCCAGAGATGCCTTCTTCTCCCACGGCTCTTCCTGTGCAGGTCCATCTGCAGGGCCTGGAACCTGGAGGTGATCAGGCACCACTCGGTTTATGGGGGACCAAAGCTTCCAAAGAGACTTTAGAGAGCCTCCTCAGAGTCAGCACAGGGAAAGGAAGAGGAGCTAGAGTCTCTTTCTCATTCAGAGCTTGAGGGTGGAAAAGACAGAGATAGAAACACATACTAACTGCTCTACCTTGGCAACTCCCCCTATTGCTGCCCCTATGTCCAGCCTGAAGGTCATTGATCTGGTTCCCACAACAGATCAAATCCCCCTTCCCACCTGCGGTCCTGGTTCAAGTCCTTTCTCTAAATCTTCCAGCACAGTCACAGCCTCCTCTCCACTCTTTGGGTGATGTTCTCGCACCCAGGACCGGAGTTCCTCAGGCAGGATGGTCAGGAATTGTTCCAGCACCAGTAAATCCAGGATCTGCTCCTTGGTGTGTCTCTCTGGCCTTAGCCATTCACAACAGAGTGCCCGTAGTTGGCTCAGGGCCTCCCTTGGACCAGGGGTCTCCTGGTAGCAGAGCTGCCTAAAGCGCTGACGGAAGATCTCTTGGCTGCTGGAGTGGTTCCCAGGTAGCCTGGTCTCATATTCCCAAGACTGTTCCTCTTTTTTTGGCTTCAAAATAACAATCTTCTCTTGTTCCTGTGTATCCTGAAGGGCCAGAGTTTTAGCTGCTGTTAGTGGTACAGCCATAGTAGCCTGGACTAGCTCTGCAGAAAGCCCACACCAGCTGGAATCTTTCAAGGGCACCCTGTAACATAAGGAATCATTCATTTTTTTTTCATCCATTAAACACATACTCAACATCTACAAAGAGCCAAGTCCTGTACAATTCCCTTTCCTCTTTCTCCTTCAATTCCACTAAATCACTGTCTTTGAGAAAGTTGCAATCTGGTAGAGACAGACATGTAAAATGTTTTTCTACAACTAGATAAATGCCATAACAAAAACTGTTCTGGGACCTACAGAAAGAAATAACTACGGGAAAGAAACCAAGTCTGAAACAAAACCCACATTTCCAGATTCAAAGTCCAGAGCTGAGCAGCTCTCTGTGCCTGGTGTAGAAGAGGAGGACCCTTCACAGATGGCCCCTCCACCCTTCCTCAAATTTCTGAGGTAGTACTACAGCAAAAGAAAATGTAAAGTCCTTCTAAGGGTTAGATCACATATAAACGTCCAGGATTCCTGCAGGATTGTTATGGGACTTTTAGAAAGAACAGACTTAGGGGTACAATGTCCACCGTCAGGATATCTAACAGGGCAAGAGATGGATGCACCCAGTGGCCACTAAAGCAGCATACACAGGTAATACTGGCCGAAAAGACAAAGGCGCTCAAACGCACAGCCAATGTTCCAGAGTGATGCCTTAGCGATGCCAACGCCCAGCTGAACTCTGCCTGGCGTTGGCAGGTGCACACCCGAAAGCCCTGGGGAGAGGCTGTGGTCTACGCTAGTTATAACAAACCATCTCCACCCTTCAGTTTTCCCTCTGGGATCCTCAGAAAAGAGAAGAGGGACCCCAAGATCGCCCAGCAGGACCTTCCCCGACAAGTGACGCACAGCGAGGGTCGGTGGGGAACCAGACCCCTCTGCACAAAATCCCACGAAGCTGCCTGCGAGGTCTGTTCGCTGTAGGGCTGCCGCTACCTGCGAACAAAAAAAAGCTGACCAACAAAAGCTGCCGGGCCACTCGGAGTTGGATCTCCAAGTGCCCAAGGCCGGGACTCACCCTACAGAGGCAGGGCATCCATCAGGCACTGCCGTGCACGGCGCAGTCCCAGCCCCAGTCCTAGCTCTAGCCCCAGCTCCAGCTCCAGGTTTGCGCCTGCGCGTTTAGTAACGAGGCCTCCATCTCCCAGAAGCCTCCGCGCCGCCTGCGGCCTCTGGTAAACTCCGGCGTGAACTGTCTCGGACGCGAGTGGCAGGCAACAGACTTGCCTACAGTACGCCTGGACTTAGGCTGTCGGGCCCAGCGAACACCTCTTGCAGTCCCTGTGGAGGCAAAGGGGAGGCGGGGGTGGAGGCGGAAGCCAGGGGACCAAATTCGGCGGACTTCTATTCTCTGTGAATTGTAGTATAAGGGGCAGTGTAGAGTGGGAGAAATGTCTGGGAAATTCTACCCTTGTGTATCGCCTGTTGCAACACTGCTCCTCTGTTACGTTTCCATTTAACCTCTTTCCAGACTTTTTCAGAGAGTCACAACCAAAGAAGGAGATCCCTTCAAGGAGAAAATATTTGCCAACCAACCACCAAAAGTCCTTTGGGATAAAAAGCAATTCTTGGGACATGGGATGGGAGTGTGAGGGAGGAAAAAGAAAATTCAAAGGTTCTAGGAAGGTAAGGTGACCATTATGAAAAAGAAAAGTACAGAGGATCAGATTAATTAGGGAAAAAAGTGCACTAGAATATGAGCAAGCCAGCAAAAATAATAAACAAACAAACAAACAAATAAATGAAAAGCTATTAGCTCAAAAGAAGCGCAAAAGCAAAATTAGAAACCATCTAGAAAGCAATGCAAAGAATACTTAATGCTGAAATCTGTGGGACCTAGCAATAGCTACTCTTGAAAAAGACTTCATTTTCTCCTTTAAAAAGAAATAAAAATATAAAAGAACTCAAAATTCATCTTAAGAAACTTTAAAAAATACTAAAATGAGGCAAATTTAAAAAAGAAGAGTGAATTAATAAAAATTATAGCTAATGAAATAGAAAAATTAAAAATAGTAGAAGGAGAACCTGGCGTGGTGCATGCCTATAATCCCAGCTGCTCCTGAGACTGAAGCAGGAGAATTGAAAGTTCAGAGCCAGGCTAAGCAAGTTAACGAAGCCCTAAGCAATTTAGCGAGATCCTGTCTTAAAAAGGGCTGGGGATATGGCTCTGGTTAAGCGCCCCTGAGTTCAATCCCTGGAATCCGCCCCGGCCCCTCCAAAAGTAGGAGTAAATTCAAATGCTGATTTTTTTTTTAAGAGCATTAAAATAGATAAACTCAGCGGCTGGGGAGGCTGAGGCAGGAGAATCGCAAGTTCAAAGCAGCAAAAGGTGCTAAGCAACTCAGTGGTGGAGTGTCCATGAGTTGAATACACGCCCCCCTGCTCCGGCACACAGAAAAAAGATAAACGTGTTTAGAGCCTGACCCAGGAGAAGCAAAATTGCAAACAATAGGAATGTATAAAGAGGAAAGAAAATGATAGTAGTATCATCCTCTTATAAATGGAATTTTCAATAAAAACTAGAAACTTATAAATTTGGACTTTTTTTTCCCCCTTGCTTTGCTGGGGATTGAATTGGGTGCTCTACCACTGAGATATATCTCCAACCCTTTTTTGTTGAAGTTGTTTTGAGACGGGGTCTTGCTAAATTGCTGTGCCTGGCTAAATTTGGACATTCGTTCCAGCATTTTTGGAACAAGAATCTATATGTAAATCTGAATCTGGGTTGGGGGTGAGGTGATATAAAAATGTAGTTTACTGTTGGCATGGTGGTGCTTGCTGGTAATCCAAGAGACTTGGGAGGCTGAGGCAGGAGGATCACAAGTTTGAAGCTAGTCTCAGCAAATTAGGCCTTAAGCAACTTAGTGAGACTTTGCCTCAAAATAAAAAAAGAACTGGGAATGTAACTCAGTGGTAAAGTGTCCCTGGGTTCAATCTCCAGACTGCCACCCCACCACCATGTAATTTCCTATTTTCAAGAAGCTAAACATCCTGGCAGTTGGGAATGTGAGAAAACAAGAGTACATGACAGATTTATAGTAGGGTAATGTCTTCTTCTAAGATTGGGATTGGAGAAATGAAGAATTTTGGCTTATTCACTGAAACAAATTATGCTTCAGTGTTTGAAATTTTCTTAAAATGAATACTATAATAATAATAATTTTAAAAAGTGTTAAGGCATTTCCCTTTGAAGAGCTGAGTGTATGCCCAATAGAACCAGTTAGACATGTTACCTGGATTTAAAGAAAAAGTTAGCAGTTTAAGTGATAGGGACTCCAAATGCTACAGGAGATTAGTAGGGCCTGAGATAGTGAACTGGACCTTAAATAAGTGGCTGTTTAGGGAAAATGATTAGACCAGATCTTGAGCTGAAGAGTTTTATGAAACAAAAGACAAGTTAGTATGGGATAGATGAGAGAGGGTGTAAATTCCAAATTAAGGCCTTTTAATTTAGGTAATAGGCAACCATTGCTTCTTTTTTCATTGTGAGTTTACATGTTTGTGTGTGAGAGATGATTAAGCAGTGTTTTAGGAAAATCAAATAATTACATGGCTTAGAAAGACAGAGTTTCAAGGCTACTATAATACCAGGGCTCAAAGAGATCCTGCTGTACCTTCACTCAGAATTTAGAGGTACTGCCAGACATTCTGTATGGGTATAGTCTTCTTGATCACACATACACAAAACTAGTCATTGGATACCTTTCAGAAGTAATCTAGAGAAACCGTTTTACCCAAGAGATAAACTCCTGAGACAGAAAAAAACAGTCCTTCCAGACTTGTCTCCTGTTGTTAAAGGCACTCTTCACCATAAGGCTTACCTCATGTTCAACCATATAGACATAGTCATATTATCATGTCCTTCAACAGAACTTTAAGCTTGTTTTGTAATCTCATCAGCTTCAAAAGTAGGGAAAAAGTCCCTCTAAATGTTTCACCAGATTTAGAAATTGGAAGAAGAAATGATTTGTCCTCTGGCTCTAACCAAGCTACATCAACTTATTTACCTGCTGTTATTAGACATCCTCAACTGCTGTAGTCAAACTAATCCTAAGCTTCAGAGATGGGTTGGAAGAAGGGAACTAGATAAATAATTCAGTAATGAAGGTCTGGGATGTGCTTGGTGAAAGTAACTTTGATAGAGTATTGGAAGAGGAACCCCAATGTGTATATATATATGTGTATGAGAGTATATATATTAGTTGTAGATGGCTTCAATGCCTTTATTTTGTTTATTTTTATTTTATTTTTTTTTTTTCCGAGTTAAACAGCTTTATTTGAAACGCGGGACCACCGATCTCTCCCACGACCCCCCAAGGTCCTGGCGGCGTCGGCCTCAAGTTCTCCGGGAGATCCGTGTCCAAAACGAAAGAAAGCACACGCTCCGGGCATCCGCGAAAGGCCGCCTTGTTTATTTTTTATGTGGTACCAGCGTTTGAACCCAGTGCCTCATGCATACTAGGCAAGCGCTCTACCACTGAGCCACAACCCTGGCCCCCCGCAGACAACTTTTTAAAAATATTTATTTATTTATTTTTAGTTATAGGTGGACACAATACCTTTATTTTACTTTTATGTGGTGCTGAGGATTGAACCCAGAGCCTCATGCATGTCAGGCGAGCGTTCTACCTCTGAGCCACAACCCCAGCACCTAGACACTCTTTAAATAAAAATTTGGCTACAAAAGGAGATGATATGAGGAGTGGGGAAATGGGGTCAAGGGAGGTGTGGTTGAATTGTGTATGTATTAAGGCAGAAGACACTCGGGCACAGTTTTTAAACATTTGAGAAAGGGCAATGGGAAAATACTGAAGATACTGAACAGAGTTGGGATAACTGAATAGAGGGAGGTCTTGGAGTAGGATAGGAAAAACAGGTAGAAAGATGATCCCCAAACAGGAAAAAGGGAACTTCTTTTGAGAAGGGAGCAAAGTTGGGGGTGAATGAATGTGAGAGATGGGTCAGGGATAAGGATGGGAACAGAAAGTTGAAGATGTTTCTGTGTGAAAATGTTGAATTTTTTTCCAGAAGTAAGAGATCAGGTGCTAAGATTAGGTGGTGGGTAGGTGGTTAGATGTATAAGGAGAGAAGGAAGCTATTAAGTGGTTATTATAGAAAATGGAAGACATTGCTGACTAGAGATTGTGTTGAGTGCCCAAAGAGGTGCAGAGACCTGGGTGCTGTGGTTTTCCTTCCTTAACTCAGGTGCAGGTTCAACAAAGAACAACTAGGACTGTCCATGGTAAGTTTGTGTTTTAGCAAGGCACTGTGACTGAAAGACAATGTGGAAAAGTAAATGAGGCAAAAGGGCAGTTGAGAAAAGAGTGGTTAAGTGTTGGACAGTGTTATCTAATAGGGAAAACTAGAAAGGGATGATGGGTAGGGTAAAGTGGGAAGGTCACTGGACTGGAAACCCTGATGAGTAAGAAGAAGGCAAAGATTAAATTACACATGATGCTGTACTCCTTTGAAATAATTCAGATGATCCAAAGATACTTTTCCAATGGGCCATAATTTACCTTCAGAAATGAAAAAGGTGAGATTTCCTCATTCTTGATCATTAACCTTCTCAAAAACCAGCTAAGCTAGGGCTGGGGCTTAGCGGTAGCACACTTGCCTGGCATGTGTGAGGCACTGGGTTCGATTCTCAGCACCACATATAAATAAATAAATAAAATAGAGGTCTATCAACAACTAAAAAAGATATTAAAAAAAGTTAAGACACCGATAGCAATTAAAGTTCTCTTACTATCAAATTTGTGGGAGTTTATTGAACTAATCTCTCAATATGTTCAAAAATATCTTAATCCTAGGGCTGAGGTTGAAGCTTAGTGGTAGAGCACTTGCTTAGCATGCGTGAGGCACTAGTTTCAATCCTCAGCACCACATAAAGTAAAATAAAGACATTGTGTCCACCTATAAAAAAAAACTTATTTCTAGTCTCTCCAAGAAAATCTTTATTTAACTCTGTGGCACCATAGTAACAATTCTTAGGTAACTATTAAGTTTGCTTCTTCAAGATACAGCATAGTGGGCTGGGGTTGTGGCTCAGTGGTAGAGCACCTGTCTTTCATGAGTGAGGCACTGGGCTCGATCCCGAGCACCATAAAAAAAAAATAAATAAATAAATAAATAAAGATATTGT